AAAATGCATTTGCACATAGAAATTCAATAGAAAATGTTTGAAAACCCATTCCTTTTATAATAGAAGTACGACATTTACTAGTAATATCAAATCATATTAATAGTAAGCAAACAAAAACGTCGTCCTTTGCCAAGTTATGCCAGACTAAAAATTCAACGTTCATTTTTGAAAACAAATTAGGTCGTCTTTAAAAATTCTTAATTACTTATGTTATGGTTGGTGTATTTTTTAAAGACAAAATGTATATATGACAGTGTTGAAATATTTTATATAATTTTTAGACATCAATGAATGTGAAGAACAATCTCCATGTGCTCACAACTGTACAAACACTAATGGAAGTTACATGTGTACATGTGATGATGGATATGAGTTGGTAGATTTAAGTAACTGCTCAGATATTGACGAATGTCTTGTGCATGTATGTCACATTTGCTCTAATTGGGCTGGAGGATTTGATTGTTCATGCTATGAAGGCTATTCATTAAACATATCAACTCTTTCATGTCATAGTAAGAATATTATTCCTTATCTTACATATTTCTGTATCAGCTGTTGCGAAAATTAGATTGGGATTTTATTAGAAACATTCCACTGCTTGTTTAAAGTATATATATATATATAATCAGCTGTTTACATGTTTAAAGCACATCAAAATTGGAAACGTGTCTAATGTCATCTGATTTTAGATATCAATGAATGTGAAGAAAATATCCACAACTGCTCAGATAATGCTACTTGTCATGACACTGACGGGGGATATAGCTGTACTTGTTTCAAAGGATTTGAAGGAAGCGGAAAAAATTGCACAGGTACGCATTTCTTCTACCCCTGTTTCAATTTTGCAAATTATTCGAAAGCTTGCAATTGGTAATTGCCATTTAATTGTAAATAATGTAAGAAACAAATGTTATTTTACAAACAAACTCAAGATTTAGGATGTTCACCATGGATAATGTAAATGAAAAAGCCATTGAAAATGTTATTGGAAATACTTTTTTTCTATTTTGAATATTTCACAAATCCCAGTTACTGACATTCTTAGAAAGAAAGGTTTTATTAATCATATTGATATAAGCAGAATCAAAGACATGAAGTGGTCAGCGAAAAAGATTTGTATTACTATTGAACGTTAAGGAGGATAACTCCCTATAGCTAGATATGACTTTTAAAAAAATGACATATCCGTCAACCATTATTTCGCAAAGATTTTTAAAAATATTTTAGCTTTAAAATTTGATATTTTTATATCTTTTTGAGCTCTTCTACTAAAGTAGATCAATTTAGTCGAAAAATTGCCACAACCGCCCATCCCCTTAACGGGCCCTTTTTAAAAATAATGTTTGTCTGCCCTCTCCCGAATAAAATATTTGGTCGGATGCAGATGAAAATTCTTTCCTCAGAAAAATTAAACTTCAATGGCAAATGTATAAATGTTTTTTTTCCCAAAAAAACATTAATTAAAAATTTTATTGCTACCTGGAAGATAAACAGTTTTAAACCCGACCATTCTTGGGAATAAACAGTTTTAAATTCGACCATTTTTAGCCAGTCGGTCGGGAGAGGGCGACTAAACAACTTTTAATGATAGCCTAAAATATAATATAATATATTTAAAAACCTCTGTAATTACCGTCAGGAAATACTTATTGTCGTGAAAAGTTCTCTGATTAAATCCCAAAATATAATAAATTCAGCATTTCTAAATGACAGGGTGTGTTTTTGCACTATATCGAAGTGACTAATTAAGCAGCTAAATATTTTTCCTGGAATAACTGATATGTTTTCAACATTTTGTGAATATTTCAGTTTGTGGAGACTCTACTTTTGGTGTCCAGTGCTCTGAAACATGTGAATGTGTTCCAAACAATACAGATGTCTGTAATCATGTAAATGGGTCATGTCAATGTAAAAACGGATGGATTGGTCAACATTGTTCAGAAGATGTTAATGAATGTGAACAACAACTACCTATATGTAACGAAACCTTAAATCAATTTTGTTTCAACACTGAAGGATCTGCTGTGTGTGAATGTCGTTACGGTGGATTGGATATTAATAACTGCACTGGTAAGTATTTCAACTGTTAGTCTCATAATTTCTAATAATTCTGACTTAACTTGATTTTTTTTTAATTATCTACTTTTTTGTTCTCTTAATAGCTCCTTTACCACCGCAGAATGAGAGTAAGTTTCGTAGAATTTATTGCCCTTGCCAAAGTGGATACTCTTGTCAGTTAACCGGTCGTATCCGGTTTCAGGAATAATGGAAAATATTGCAATTTTAAAAATAGAATTCTCATGCTTTGATCAAGTATCATTTAATAAAAATTAGCAATTTAAAATATGACAAAAAATTAAAGCGAATCAATACTTTTAAACAAATAAAATATTTATTTTATCCAAAATCAGCTGACGATGAAACCAAAGTGAAAGTAGAAATTAAATTTGATGTCGAATACGACAAAAACGAAGTTTTAGCTCAGCCTGAAAGGTGGAAAAATCAAATTGCAGAAAAGGTATATATAAAATGCTAATATTTAAATAAAAGAATTTATTTTTTCTTATTTTTATGTTATTTTAAGAAAAGGTTTTATAGTAAATTTTGGTCGTCAACATTCCGTTAAATTAATAGTGACAATATTTTACCGCATTTTAGATAAATGCAACAAGATTCTTATCTTTTGTTCATTTTTTGAAGCTAAATGAATTGTAACAATAGTCAAAGTACAAGGATATTATGGAGGAAAATGATAAACAACTCTATTTTAATATTGTATCTGACTCATTTTCCTTTTTTAATTCAAATTCAAAATTAGCTGAATGATTTCTACAAAAGATCTATTCGAGGTTTTACCGAAGTTATCGTGTTGTCAATTCGGTAAGTAAATTTTCTTAAGTACATGTTGAGAGAAGTAATGTTACGAAAGATGCATCTTTTATTAACAGAAGCTATATGCATTTAATTTGTGCAAAGAATCATTAATAATTCTTTGGTTTCTTTTAAGATTGGGAGCATTATAGCTGATCATGAAATCTTTGCAAGTAACACTGAAGCACAAATCATTGAAAACGGATATTGCTAATGGATTGGTAATACTTGCTCGACAGGATACGAGTTTTACACTTTTCAACAAAAGTGTTGAGGTGAAAGATATAGTGCTGAAGCACCCAAATGGAACTGATAATAAACGTGAGCAAGGCTAAATCTTTCCTTTTAACTTTTTTTTGGCATAACTAAGCTGAGATTAGTTGCCGGGGACGAGTAAGCATCCCCTATTGACGATCGCAACTTTGAAAAAACCAAACCCTGATGTACTAGCCAAATCGCATACTGGAGTATTCAAGAGTAAAATTTAAAAAGGTCCATAATTTGTAGAAAAAGATGAGCAAAATTACAAGGCTCAATGATATTTGCTACAATGTAGCAAGGATATTGCCCCTAAGATAAGAAATATATCGATAGAAAATTTGAATTAAAGTCATCTCATTTGTTTGACAATTTATTTGTTAATCCACTCATGGTTAATATCAGCAAAATCCCAATGTAAAATAAATTTGACAGACTTAATGATTAAGTTTGTTTCAACTTTAGTTTTGGTTTATATCGAGTCTTCACATAGAGGGAAATATTAATGAAACCTGTATAATTCGCTGCGTGGTGCAGTGGTTAGAGCGTCTGCTCTAGAGTCGCGAAGTAAGGAGTTGATCTTTACGTCGAGGTTTCAAATCCCACTGTGGGACGTGGAGACCGGTCCTTCGGTTGAGACCGTATAAATCAAGGTCCCCTGTCGCATTAGATGCTGGCATGAAAAAGAACAATCGCTGCTCAATGACCTTAAGCGCCAAGTGTAGGACAAAATTAGCAGCGGCAACTGGTGGGCTAAACTGTTTCCATATGAAAAAAATATTCTCAAGAGGGACGTTCAACACTAAAATTATAATCAATCAATCAAACATTTGTATCTTAACGTTGCATTTTAAAGATCTAGACCATAGCAAAATTAATGTTTTCTTGGGAATTTTCTTATTCATGATATAAAACATATCGACTTAAAAATAACACAATCAATACCTAAAGAATAAAAGTAATCAAGGAGGAACTCAAGCATTCTTTTAATATCAACATTAAATTACCTCTGTGTTGAATCAGAATAATTTTGTCGTTCTGACCAATCATAAAATATGAATAATTTTGAATTTCTATTTCATTTAAAAAACAGTCATTTATGATATAAAAAGGCCTATATTTTAATTTACATTGAAGAAAAGTTGATTAAATTGAAGAAAAGCCAGAGATCTTTGTGTTTCTGTCTTTTTTAATTGTTTAATTATTTTTAGTTTTGTCATAGATACAATGTATTCCATTATAATAATTCTAAGGCTTGTCATGCCTGTACGTCCTAATGTGATACGCCTATCCTTGGAAAATCGTTTTAAAAATCATTGTTTGTTTCAGTAGTATTTTTTAAAATTCTTTACCTGCCTCTAGATATTTCTTCGACATCCAAACCGTGTTCAATTTTCGACACCAAAGAGTATTGCACAGGCGCAGAGATCTGTTCGGACGAGTCCGGCATAGCAGTTTGTGTGTAGGTTTTCTGTAAAAAAGAGAGAGAGAGGTTAACAAAGAAAAATGAAATTTCTATCTATTAATATTATAGAGTATGTGCAACTTGTTCCATTATGTGTCATACTTACTACACAACATATTTTAAGACATTTTTTATCGTTGTAGGATCGTTTCTGTTGTCCAACCAGGTATAAGTATCATTCTTTTATTTTGTTGTAACGTTGATCGATGTTATGAATTCTTAAGGATGTGCGTTATTTAACACATTCGTTGCTATATTTTAACAAAAATATTCACTTATGATTAAACAATATTGTTTCAGAATGGACTCTCTACGTTATTCTGATTGGAGTCTCTGTTCCTCTATTATTTGCCATTATTGTACTCATAATTTGTGTCTTCCACAAAAGAAAGTCCAAAAACAACGATTCTGGTAGTATTCAAAGGTACATGTATCTGCAAACCGGTATTAGAAACCAGACACTATGCGACATAATGATTCAGTGTTTATTCTATGCAAGATTTACGAATGTAGGTTAAAAAATAGTTAACATTCAACATTCTCACAGAAAGAAAAAAATTATTGGAAATATTATTTTAAAATATGTTTTAAGTATCCACACAACGAAACGGCTGGTATGCCCTCTTAAGCTTCACCAAATACTCATTTATTTAGCTTTGTCTTCAAATCAATAACATAATTAATATTAATGTGCATAATATTTGAAACAAGTTGGCTTGTTTCACTTATGTGTGGTTTATACGATAGATGTAGCTTCATAAATATATACAGTAAAGAGAGAAATTGTCTAAGATAATCAATTCGTTTTAAAACCATGAACAAATGTATTCCCTTTTGATACATTTTCATGATAATAAAAAAGAAGGAAAGTGATTCAAACGCAATTTGAACTTTTAATGTGATTACTCAAAGCGAGATGTATAGATAAAAATCAACTATTTTACCCATTAGTTAAAAAATAGTCAGATATATAAATGTTATACAAATGTTGCTTTACTTAAGAATGTAAACCTTATTCAAAGCCAAAAACATTCAGTGTTCATAATGAAAGCTGGATATTTAGCTTAGTATCCCTTGCTAGTTGTAACGGTAGACTTTAGTGCTCAATAAAGTCTTAGCATTTAAAAACTGTTTTTCTAGTCACATGCTTCATAATGATTATGACTTACCAAAACGTTCGAAAGATGGCTTCAGCGATGAGTATTGCACGATTGGTTCTACAAGTAACAGTGGAATTTATGATCCTTCTAATGGTATGTAGACATGTTAGGTAAAGAGATGTTTTGTTTAATGTATTTAAATTTATATATTGATGCTTTTATTTGTTTAATTAATGAATCTAATGTAATGTAAAAACAAATAACAAAACAAATACAGAGAATTACCTTTAACAAATAATGTTGATTGCACACTTGCAGACTATGTTCATTCAGGATTTCATCATAATCCAATGTACGACGCTTTAAAACCATCTGAACAGGTAATTTGTTTACTTTATGTATTTCTTCTGTGACCACAACAATAACAAAACAAAACAAGACAAAATTCTAAAAAGCAAATGGGTCTCAGTCAAGGTCACAAGATCATTGTCCTTGGTGTCATTTGAAAGTGCTTAATTAGTGGAGTATGCATACCAAATATGAAGTCTCTATCTCTCACGGTTCAAAAAGTATGGCGAGAATTCGGAAAAAAAAGCTATTTCTAGAATACAGGTCACAGTCAAGATAACAAGGTCATTGACTTTGGTGTCAGTTGAAAGAGTTTAATTAGTGGAGTATGCATACCAAATATGAAGTCTCTATCTCTCAGGGTTCAAAAGTTACAGCGAAAGTTCGAAAAAGCTATTTACAGCATAAAGGTCACAGCCAAGGAAACACGGTCATTGACCTTTGTGTCTTTTGAAAGTGTTTTATTAGTGAAGTATGCATGCCAATTATGAAGTCTCTATCTTTCACGGTTTACAAGTTATGGCGAAGGTTAAAGTTGACAACAGACTGACAAACAGATAAACAGACAGACAGGACAAAACAATATGCGCTCTGAAAAATTCGGGCGCATGATTAATATTTATTCATACATACAATTATTGAAATATTTTCCTTATTATCACAACAAGTTTTCGAATTTTTTATTCATAGCTAACATGTTTGTATTTATTTTGTAGTTTCGCATCAAGAGACCAAACATCAGAATGAACAATTAATCACGCAGATATACATTCTTCTCTGGAACCATTTCAGCAATTTCTACCAATGTTGAACTTTAATTTAATTGCATAAAGGGAGGAAACTTGTAAATTTCATGGTCCCTGTTTCCCTGGATACATGACTAAAACTTGGGTCGTATACCACCGATATAAGTATTGTCTTTTATTTTGTTTCTTCTTTATTTTTGATCATCAAGCAATTATAAACTGCTTGATTGTAATGAGCAAGGGACCCTCTGCATACATGTAAATGTAAAAATGCATTATTTCTTTGAAATTATTCTATTCTGTCCTTAGGCATCTGTAAGGCTAAGAAGATTTTTTTTTAAATATTGTACTTACCCATATTTTACATTTTGGGCCGTTTGGTTGTATGATCTTCTGTTGGCTAAATCTCTTTTTAAAACCTTAAAGTTACAGCCCTTTCGCCATTTAGCCCTTATAATCAATTACTGTAAATGATATATATTTGAAATGTTAATGCAAGGTTTAAAAGTACATTTTTGAAATATAATACAGTAAATCTGGAAATTTTTACGCTGATTTAATTTTGCGAATCTTTGAAAAATTTGTTCTTAAGGACCCTCTCTACACCACTGCAAAATGCTTTTTGGACATTGAGAAAAATATATTCTATAAAGATGTTGATAACGAGCTTATTTATGCAATTTTCACTATATGGTACATGTACGTGCCATTTATACCCCAGGAAAAATAATCATTCACAACACAGTTTCAGTGAATAGAAATCACTGTTGTTTACTTCGACAGAGAAAATAATGCAAATAACATGTTGAATTAATTTATCTTGGTCTTTTAAAATGTTAAAATACTTGAATTAATTACAAATTGTATACTGCGATTGTCTGTTTTTAAGAATCTAGAGATAAAGGCAGAACACTCTAACTGCAGAAAAATACCATAGAATCAGAAATCTTTAGTATGCAGTGTAACGAGGGTTCTTAAAAGACCAGAAGATCCCATTGTGAGAGATATTAACTATAAAAGATTGAAAATAGTTTGGAAGGTTGAAGTTTGTTGTCCAACAAAGCACAATCTTTCAATTTATTTTATACGTCTATTGATCCTCTTAATTTTATTATACTCAAGTGACCGTTATGTTCTTCAGCTTCTTTTTTAAAATCAAAAATTTTTTAAAATTGTTAAAGATGACACATAAGGTTCAAGTAATTTAAAGCTTTTTAAAATATCTTTAACACATATTATTTTCCATCATTCACTGAGGATTTATTTCAGTGATTGCTGAGTATCTGAATTTGTGCTTGATATAACTATAAATGATTCTGACCATAAGATAAACAGTTTTGTATAACGATTTTTATTTTGGTTTCTTTGAAGAAATGAAGAATTGTACTGTTTTTTATACGAAGTGTTGTTCTTTTTTGCTTATAAATGTTTCAAATAATCAGAGAAAAAATAATTTGATTTACTATTTTGTTTATTGATACATTAATCTGAATTGTACATGCAGTATATGTGTAACTCAATTAGTGCGCCATTTCAAAGATTTTGTGTATGTCGATCAAGATGGATAATGTCAAAGATATCTGATTGATCCGGTTTAATGTGAATAAACTGTGAAAAGTAGAGTACTACATGTACATGTTTTTATTAGCATTTACTTCTTACGGAAAAAAACAATAAGAATTAAATTGAATTCATTGAACTTTAAAAAAAAAAAAAAAAGCAATGACAGTGTACATTGATTTTCAAATAACATAGTTGATATTCAATGATTTGTAGTTGAATGTGAAATTAATTTCACAAGTGGGACATGATCCAGACTTTTGATATTTCCATAAGTACAAGAATGAGTGTAAATATATATAAAAAGAAATTGTCTCACGAGTGAATGATTATATAAAATTCCAGACACAGAATATTGCATTTCTTTTATTACATTTTTTCTTTGTCTCTGTCTTTTTTGTATTCGGTGTTTTAGTTTGGCTACATATGACGTCATCCCTAACTGATGTGAGATTGAAAAATTTTAAAAATTGATTCCAATAACATATTTGGAGGAACTTTTGCTGTTTTAGTCTCTCTCTGAATTGTGTATTTACTCTCACAGTGCCCCACCTTCCCCCAGCCCCGTGGTATAGAATGCATGTATATCCAAAACAACTTCAAGACTGTGAGCGTCCAGTATGTTTTCTAAACTTGCAGCAATGAGACAGCTAACTTTGCCACCATTAGTTGAAAAACGTCTTGGAAGGGGTATTAAACAAAACTTAACTATAATGTAAAGATTTTAAGTACTAGTTTTAAGTAAACTTCGTACCAGTTATTCGATTTAAAGAGGTTTTAATAATATTTTCTGTGAAATGACACATACTCTATTTCTCACTCTCCATGCCCAAGAATGTCGAAGTAGCATGAATCTAATGTCTTCCCACTGATATAAATACAAATTAATATAGATAGATATACACATCTAAAAGATTCTTTGTGCTATTTTAAAACTATAGACATATATTTACATATGTAAAGTGTATATAAAGTTCTAAATGGATATATTCCTCTCGTTGTTATTGCAATTTTGTCAGTTCACTGAAAATCAGTAATGGATTCATTTTGTTTGGTGTCAAACATCTCTTTGAGAAATATATATCATATTGAGACACCAGTACGCCTTTCAAGGGCTGCAAATGTAGATTTCGGCACTCAAGGCCTTTGAACAGTAAGGAATTCTTCTTGTGCCAGACTGCTCTGTGTACAATCTTATCGGAAGGACCCATCAACTCATATGCGGGGTTTGTTCCGCGGTGTAAGGACAGTTTCTTTTAAGAAATTATATGATTTAACACTCATATCGCAATATTTTGCTATATTGTAATTAAAACTACATCCAGGAATTTCCATCTATATGTCTGTAAGGAAGATGAAGCGGAAACCGAGAAACAATTATCCTTTCCGACGTAATGAAAATTAACAGCAAGAGATCATATAATGTTTTTTTTTTCATTGTTACCCGCTTATCACTGAGAGTGGGCCTACTTTGAATCGGTTCGTCCGTCATTTTTTCCACCACTCTTAATGTCTGTCTGTAACACTTTTGATTCTGCACGATTTTTTAAGAAGCTGTTTCTTCCTTTGCGTTCAAATTTTACATAATAAATGCCTAACAATTTTGGGGTAAAAATACAAAAGATCAAGGTTACTTAACTTATTCTGTTTTTGTGTAAAACTCATTTTTAGGTGATTTGTCGAGAGGGTTTTAAGCTTTTCCTCTGAAATTTTATACCATACCTCTCTCTGACCCCGTCTGTCCCTTTTTAAAAAGTGGCTCGTCCCATCCCCCGCCGACCCCTCCCTGCTCTTGATGCACCTTTTCCTTAAGCGGGGGAGGGGGACACAGATTCTCATATTATCTTGTGTAATGACAATTTGACAAAGTTTCAAGACTTTCTAAGTTCTCAAACTTTTTAAAATAAAGACTAGATATTAATAATGTAATTGCATCTGTCCGTATTCTTTTTGTAGCCCATCCCATGAATAGATTAAAAAGCGTTCTGCAGTCAAAATTAATAGAATTATATCTTCGCGGTTGAGCCTTGTGAACCAAAGTCTTTTGTTCTGTAATGGTGAAAAGGCACTAAAAATTACTAAAATATCGTTGCATCGAGATCTCTTTAGGTCTAATCAAATATTGCATTAAACATATGCGCTGAATTGTTTAAAGAACAATTTTGATACTTCAGTGAGCTGAAAAATGCATTTTCTTGCTAAAAGATGCTAAACTGAAGTACATGTTCACAAGTTTTTATGATACTATGATTAGATTAGATTATCAGAATTTATACATTTCATTCAAATCATTTTTCTTAGAAATAATGATCAGGAGAATAAGGCTTAGTTTACAATTCTAAAAATCAAAGAAATGTAGAAAATAAAATGTCCTGGAAACCATGTTATGACTTGAAATTGAAGAACAAGTCTTATCAGACACTTGTATTTGTTTAAACGGTACATGTACGAGGGCTGTTCAATAAATATTGTCCTGAACTGTATGACATACAATACAGATATCATATGACATTAAGCTTGACTTTTTCTCATTATTGAATCTTTAATGAATTTATAACAGTTTATGTGACCACTTTTCATCACATAGTTTCATTGTAAGAAGCTGGAAAACGATGGCTATTTGTGACACTGCATTATAAATGAATTGTAAAGAATCTTTAAGGTGAAAATAAAAGCCTCATTAAAGCTGCTGTAAAACTTGTTAAAAATCCCAAAGAAATATTAACTGAAATATGTGACATTTACAGCAACCAATGCCTGTTTCATAGACAAATGAGCAGGTGGATTTCAATGATAAAAAATATAATAGGCATTAAAAATTGGTACCGTCCTTGCCAACAAAAAGTATAACAACTTATGTTCTGTTTGCTAAATTTCAACAAATAGTATTTGATGATGTATGATTGACTTTAAGAAATATAGCAAATTTGATAGAGATAATTTCTGCAGTATTTTACACCGTTTTTAAGAAACGTTTGACGGTAAAAAAAAAAAAAAAGCTAAGTACTCAAAGGTCACCCTATATTTTGAAAAATGAATGAAAACAACAGCGTTTACGAATGTCTTAACAATTATTTTAAAAATATCAGTAATTGTAGTTATCGACGTTTGTTTGATATTCAAAAAGATAGTGGAACTTGAATTTATTGCGTAAAACCCTCAAAACAAAATTAACCAAAAGATGAACATGATAAAAACAGCGAAGGTCTGACAAGAGCAAAGAATTGCAAGAGCCCAAAGACAGATTTATATGCAATTTTCTTAAATATTAGTGGTATTGTTGTTCAAATTCGTATTCATGGAGACAGTTAAATTTCTGGAGGAGTCTAGAAAGCAATTTTTTTTGCAAAAAATCGAAAGGTTTATTAGAGGATCAGGAATCCACTTCATTAAATTTCTTCGTGACAGCGTCCAAACCTGCACGCCCTGATCATGAAGGGTAAAGGGGTTTTCGGGATAAAGAGATACTTAATGTTTTTTCACATTAACAATGTTCCGGATTATTACGGATTTTGAAATCTGACC